AAGAACAAACTGAGCCCTCACATACCTGACCCATGAGTAGAGGGTGGTAGTTGGGGAAGTTGAAGTCTGAGAAGGAAAAGGGGGAGACCTGGGTCAAGAAGGATTCCAAAGAAAGGATTTAATTATATTGGAATTAACTCTAAATCATTCAACTGGACTGAAACAAAATTAATTATAAAGCATTTGTTTTGAAGAAACTGAGCCAGAAAAAGCACAATGTTGCCAAATAATATTTAATAATTGTATTAAAAAATTAGAAAAAGGACCTTTTGGGACTCTTAGTAGATCATTGAAACCAACTGCTCTTTTGATGAAGTATGTGTCTTTCTCAGATTAAATTACAAGGGCTGTCTCATGTTCTCATGAGATTCTGTAAACCTATATTACATTATTTTGGTAAAAGCAAAATAAAAAGAATTAATTGGTGATCACAGACTTTCTAAGAAAGGGCAGAGCAGGATTTTAATGAGCAGTTACTCAACTGTCTGTTTCACTGCTTTTCCCCAACTTGAGCCTCACGTTTTCTGTGGCACTGGGAGAAACTGCTTTTCTTGAACAATTTCACATTTCCTGGCCCTGTTCATGTCTTGTAAGTGATGACGTGTCTTAGAAAATAGAGCAACAGAGAGTGATGGTTCTTGAGTGAGTTGGGAAAAAACACAAGGAAATCTTAACAAAGAGAGAAAGTGATGTGTTTACCTTTTGCTTTGGCTTCAGCCATGTCTAGACACAGCTTTATGTGCTTAATGGTAACCCCAGAGCCTAGGGAAGAGTCATCTCACTCATTAATGCCTCCTTGAGGCATTCGCTTCAAGGAGGCATAAAGCAGTGCCACTAAAACTTCCAAAATCAGGTCTAGCAGGACCTGGCAGCACGATTTTGCCTTCTTGAAAACCAAACCTTGAACACTGTTGATGTATGCTGCCAAATGCATCTAGCCCTGGAACAGGCTGTTCACATGCAATGCAGCTCTCCCTGGAAACTCCATGGGTGTGTATTCACTGCTAACTAATTTCAGGCAATACTTCAATGTTTATGTTGGTTTGATGGATAAAACTTTCTGAGATGTTTTGCATAGAGAATTCAAATGTAGTCAAAAATGAGAAAATCTTAATTGGGTTGGACAACTCTATGTTAGATCTCAGGTCCTCACAGCTGTAAGCCTTTTTTCTTTTCAACAGTGTTTCAGTCAAGAAGTGGAATTAATGTTGGATTTATCTTAACATTTCTGATCTTTTTTCTGGCTCCTTTCTTGCCCATTTTGTGACTCCCACTGGGAGATAATTGAAGTCCCTCCTGGGAGAGTTTCTGCAGCAAAACTGTTTTCTTTTCAGGCTCCTTTTCTGTTTTGCCTCACTTAAAATTGATGGAAATACAACTGGATGTGTTGGTCAGTTTTTAACAGGACTATGGGTGACAATGGTGGGCAGGATGGCTGACATGCTTTCTAGTAAAATAGAAATAAGGCTCTCGGATTTTTTAGGTATTAGATTTATAATTTTTCTACTGTGTTAGGCAAATTGCCATGCCGTAGGTTTCACAAACACATTTCTTGATAATATAGGCTCTGAAAGGTGGGCCATTTGTGGAACAATTTGGAGGATGGGAAGATTAACTTCAGTCTTCAGAATCTGGGCGTTTTAATGCTCTCCTAACAACTGGTGTGGGACTTAATCCTCACAGGCACATTTCTCCCAAGATATTTCTTCTGTAGGGAAATTTGTACTGTCACTTCCAGGTTTTGGTGGAAGAAAAGCTAGTGCTGAGTGTCCTGACTTTGACTCTACATACAGGTGTTAAATCTTTGTCTGAAGTTCAAATCAGAAATTCTCTCTAAAAAGGGATTTGGCAATCTCCCAAGGGTTTTGTAGTTATCTATTGTGGCAACGTATGATCATAGAATCATTAAGGTTGGACAAAACCTCTAAGATCACTGAGTCCAAGCATTAACCCAATTCTGCCAAGACCACTACTAAACCATGTCCCCAAGCACCACATCTACATGCCTTTTAAATACCTCCAGGAATGGTGAATCCACCATGTTCCTGGGCAGCCTGTTGCAATGCTTCACAACCTTTTAGATAAAAACATTTTCCCTAATATCCGACCTAAACTTCCCCTGGTGAACCTCACAGTCTTAGAAACCTCAAGAAAAGAAGGGCATAACAAGGTGAAAAGGAATAGAAATAAAAATTCATGGCCAGGCTGATAATTGCTGAGTGGCACCTTGTGTGTAAGTGCTTAGTCAGTATCCATGACCCTGCTCCTGCTGAACAGTTTAACCCCATCTGGGAAAGGCCATGGATTTACTGGAAACCTACAACAGGCTCTCTCCCTTAATCCCATATAATTTTTTCCTCCACAAATTTAATGTTGTGAATCAGAAATAAATAACTGCAAAATACGTCTGGAAACTGAAGGATCAAATGGAGAAACCTGAGATGTTTCTCCACTATGTGGGTCAGATTGGTGGAAATCCTTGCTTTCCAGAGAAGCAACAGTGCCCCCCTCCAGGTAGGGAACCTGGGGCTCCTGTCCGGCTTTCTGCCATACAAGATGCAGGGCAAAGAGAATATTTCAAGGATATTTTAAAAAGCTGTGATTGCTTAGAAAGCCAGGTAATTCTTGCACATCTTGAACTATCCCAATCACTCATAGCAGGCTTAGATACAGAGCAGATCCCAAAGAGGTTCCTCCAGGGAGCGGGGGGCTCTGCTGTGTATGTGTCTGACTGTGCTCCTCAGGTAGTCCCGTACCATCACTACATATCGATTGGTAGAAATAAATCTGTTACTGTGGCCATTTTAATGTCCATAAAGTGGCTATAGAAAGAAACACCACATCACTGTGGTCTTGTCTTTGAACACATTCTCAAAGATATAATTAAAAACACCAAACTTATTTCAGCCAAAGTTCATAAGTGATGGGTCTGGCATCATGCCGATTGCAGGAAGGCTAATTACACCATAAATTAAACTTTTTTTTTCCTAACCAAACATTATGACCTTTAATAAAATTGTTTTTACAACCAGCTGTCAATAAATCATCCAGGAAAGCTAGTGAGAAATGTTCTGTGAACACTCCACTTCTGTGAATTTCATTAGCTTCAGTTTATTTGATTTTTTTGTGAGCTATGGTGGTTTTTAAATCTCAAATTAAAAGCCCCGAACCATAAAAACTAATTCAAGAACATTAGCATCTTGGTCTCTGAAAATGAGCCTCTCTAATTGCAGAAATTAGTCAAGATTGTATAACGATCAGGACGTCATTAAAAAAAAAGAATAGTGAGTAGGCTGTACTTGGTTCAGCTACAGCAGCTCCAGAAAAGCTTTTCTTGTGTATACCCTTAATGAGAGAAAACTGTCCCTGGTAGACTGATTTGAAAGCACTATGAAAGCCTTTTAACCCAGCAGTTTGATTTCTGAGACACCAATTTTCTGCCCTTGTTTATTCTCTTAGGCGCATCAGGACTTGAGTTTGGACACGTGTAAGAAGTTTTACTGCATGTTGTACCGTTGCGTCTGCAGCGGTGAAGTATGAGGTAGTGTCAATAGGCTTTACTTCAGGGGTTCTTTTTGTTTTGCATTCTTAAGGCTCCTGTACTACTTCATGATAATTACAAATATTTGTAGGAAATATACTACACTGCTTGATTTGTAACTTTAAGGTGGACATATTTTAAAGTTAGGCATTTTTATTAGATTAGTACCAGAAAATGAAGCTGTTAACATTCTACTCCTCTGCCTCATAAAGCTCTTCTGAGTAGAAGAGTGGTGTTATTTTGTGTTGTAGAAACATCTAGAAAGCTTTTAAGTTTGAATCTGATAAGACAAGATAGCAATCCTTTTTCTCAGCACCTTTTTTAGAACTGCAGGTTTTCTCACATTTCCGTTTTCCTCCCTATATGTTTTGGCATGATAATTTCAGGCCCTTCATAACTCTCACTGTTCACTTGACTTTCCATAGCTCATTTGTGTGGCATATGTGTTATAAAAATCTGTTACATGTTGCTGAGCCCCGTATGGCTTCTATGAGTCCCTGTTTATATGGTTGCTGACATCTCATACAGGTGTCTCTATTCTGCCTTGTGTTGTATATTCAGAAGGTTCCCCAGGAGTTCATCTGTAAAGTGTGTCCACTCCCTCAATAATATATTTTTTTAAGGACACTAAAATGAATACTTAATTGAAAGGAGAAAATGAGATTTTCTAGAACCTATTTTTTATCAGTAAATTTAAAAAATTACCTATTTTCCTGTACTCTCCCTTTTTTTTCTTTTTCTCTATCTCTTGTCATAAGCATTATCTGAACCAAAGGTCTTTTGGCATGTCTATACCAAAAATATGAAAAATTAAGGTGAGGTTTTGAGTCTTTATTCATCACTGCCGGTTTCCTGGGAAGCTTGTCGCTGTTCATGAGAAATTTTGAGACACTCACGTCCCTCATTCCATGAGCTCTTCTGAGTCTCAGTCCAAGACATCGATTTCCCTGCTGCATGTTTTCCTCCTCTGGGTCTCACAAATACGTCCATTCACTTATTTCTTGCCATACCTGCATGCACAGTGCCAAAAATAGCCTTTCAAACCCAAACACTATAGTGTTGTCATTCACATTGTTCCCCAGCTTCCAGTCCCACATATACCAATGTCTAAATGCAGACATATATGTGCACACATTTATATATGGCATGGTGATGGAAGTGTCAGTTTTTATTATGTGACTTGATCTTATAATGTGGGTTCCCTTAGCTAGCATATTGTAGCCTTGTTATTTCTGAAGCAAAGAACTTTGTGTTTATTGCTGATATTTTATCTTTAGTGAGACTGTTATTACAGCTATTCTGATGATCTTTAATGTTTTCAGACTGAACTGCAATTTATACATTTTTTTTTTTTTCTGTAGGCATTTATGACATTTTCCCATGCCTGTGTGACATGGAACTGTCACTTAAATGTCTTGGCAAAACAGTTTGAACTACTGCTCCACCCCAATTAAATACTGAAACATGAACTCTGAACTTTACTGTGAGTAAAATAAATCAATTATAAATTAGCAAGAGGTAGGCTACTGATGAGGGTAAGAGAAATCAGAATGTATAAATATCAGTTACTTGAACTCCATGAAACACACACACACGTCTGCATGTGCACGCACGCATAATGTTAGACTTGATCTGGACTTTTTCCTTCTGGCTTCATTAATCAACTAGCCAGTTAATCTGAAATATTTCACGTCAGCTTCACAGATCTGTTTTATGTATATACATTTTTAAGCTTTTATTTTGTTTGAGGTTTTTTAATATTACTTGGCTTGCCCTTCCATTATTCTTGAACGTTTAAGGTTTGGAAAAAAGTAAATTACAGACCCCCATGGACTGATGTAACACAAGAAGGCAGATGTTTTTCCCTCTTCTCAGGTCACACATTGTTTTTAAACTGAATGCACTGAGTCCAATAAAATGCTTTATACAAAATACCAGTTTCATATAGTAGTAGGCATCTCATTCTGCAGCCATGTTTACTGTATGTGGAAGTCACAGGCACTTTAAACAAAGAGCTCCTACTTAGTTCCTATTAAGTACTAATTTGAATTGATATAACTTTATCCATGAGGAATATGCATCATAAGTGTCAGAATTGCCTTGGTGAGCATATAAAATTTTCACAAGTTCTCTACCTAGTGGTCTATTAATTTCGCTTTTGATTTATTTATTTTTCCTTTTATTTAAATAACAAACAACTGACTTTTGTAAAGATGCCATACTTTTCAGAAAAGATTTTTTCCATATTGACTTAACAGGTAATTCTACAAAGTGAGTACTCTCTTCACACATTTTCACCATGTGTGAAAAGGGAAACCCTGGCAACTGAGAGAAGAGTGTCACTCCTTAGCACTCTTGCTCTGTGATATGACCTGCTTGTAGGATTTTGTATCAAACTACTGCTGGTTTTGTTTTCTATTTCCTTTTTTTTCCCTTAACCTCTTTAGCATTATCAGGACTACTCTATTCATTATAATTGGATTTTTCTTATTGCTTGGCTTTGTCTTGCAGCAAGACTCAAAGTTCCTAGAAGAGCCACCATAAACACTAATTATATCAATAGAGAGCAATAGAGGCAACAGCCCCAGGCTCATCACACTTGTCCAATTTTAAGGACGTTTCCATGAGATTTTTCCGAGTTTTTGAACTGGTGTCCTTTTATTGCATTTTACTTGTGCAGGATATAAAAGATAAGCATTCCTTCCGTGGATAAATTTTTGGTTGCTGATTATGTACCTGTTACTTTATGCATGCTCCGCTATTTGGCTTGAATTCTGAAGTGAAAGTAAGAGGCTTTTTAGACTGCTAAAGAGTCCCAGGATTGTGGGAGTGCACAGGGAAAGTCAAGATACCAAACACCTGTTTTCACTAAACTTGAGGATGTTGGGTAGGTCAAGAGGAGAGCTGTGGGTTAGCTCATTCCACTGTAAAGCAATGAAAGCCATAAAATATTATGAGCAAAAAGCCACCTGTTTTTGAATTAGTGCTTGCCATCTACCTTTGTGGTTTAAATTGAAAGTTCAGTATCTAGACAGCCTGTGTTCCTTTTGCTCTGACACAGTGTATCAATTTATACAGTGCCTTCCCAATCAGCTCCATCTCAAAGCTCTTTGCAAAACATAAAAGCAGGTGCACATATGCATCCCTTCCTCTCCCAGGCACTGCACTCTAACAGGAAAGCAACTTTTCTGTTAACAAAGCGTAAAAATCAGACAAGTGTCAGAAACTACATTCAATACCAAAGTACTAGAGACAAATTTCAGAAAGATAAATGCATCATGGTGGATGGCTGCAAGACCATTCCTTGATTTTCTTCAGGTGCTGTATTCTACAAAAGTAAATGCTTTCCAAACAGCTCTCCTCTGACAGCTTCATAGTCCTTTGTTGAACAGAAAACCTGATGGTCTGTGATATTGGTTTGTTCAGATTTAAAACTTACATGTGGAAGAAGAGCCATGAACCTGACAAGAGTACTCTGTAGTCTGAAGGGGCAAGGCCTCACTATCCCATTATTACCTTGACCAAAAGATAGCTGGCTGAAGGCAAGCAAATCAGCTTTGAGAGAATTTTATCACGACATGCCTCAGGAGGTGGTAACCTTGGCAGATTTATTCTGTCCTCCTCTAAAGGTAATGTCAGTGCAGCTGATCTCAGGGACTAAATGCCATACAGGTATTTTTTTTCAGGCTTCAGTGTGTGTCTTTTGACTCTTGTTCTAAAAAATGCTCGCTGTTGTTGATCTCAATGATCCCTCTGTGCCTGTTTCTGCTTGTGGCGTGGGCTATTCAGTCTGTTGTATTTGCTTAGTGTGAATGCAGTTCAGAGAACTCTGAAGGATGAGGCTAGCGTGGCCACGTTATGCTCTCAGGAAAAGCTTTTTTCATTAAGTCCGTGGCTTTTAGAATATTTGGAGCAATGTTTTTTGCTGTTATTAATTTACCTATGACACTTAAGTGAGAGTTATGCTCATCCTCCCCTTCCCACGCTGTCAATGAAGAGAGAATCCTTGGGGCAGTGATTCAGGTATCACATAGTCTGAAGAATCATTTCTGGAGATGCTTCTTTTCTCTTCACAGACAGCTTTTCTAGCAAGTGTGCAGCAAAGCTCAGGCCAGGGTCCCTTTTAATACTTTGTTGAGAAAGAGATGTGAGCATAAGGCTCTCCATCATCCTGAGTCACATCGGTGCGTCTCTGCCACTACATCTAATGAAGCCCTAACATCCAGAGGTGCAGCTTTTGTAAGTACTCTAAATAGGTAGCACTCTACCATTTTTGGTGCAGATGACAAAGTCTAAAACCACAGCTTACCCCCCAGAGGAGGGCATTGAAAATACAGGTCTGTGAAAGTGTCCTAGTTACAGAGGCTGGGACTGGTTTATCACTATTTGAGTATAACCAAAACTCTGTATTCTACACCCTCTATGTAATTTCTGGTGGACTGTTAATAAATAGATTGTTTGCAGCAGCTGCCCAGGGCACACCTGACACCTCAAGCTACAAGCTGGGTGTTAAAGAAACCCTATGAAGCAGGGGAGTGTTCTTTTGTTTTCACATCAATGGCTCAGCTGTGATAACTCCCCTCTGGAAAGGCATTAACACCTTCACACCCAGCCTGAGGGGTCATTGCTGCTAATGGGCCACAATGGACTGGCATAATAGGCAGCTGCAACACCCAGACCATCAAAAGATTCCAAAAATATCTGATGACTCACAGAGTTAGATCACCCATTGTGAAACTCCCAGCCCTGGGGGAGGTACTAGGCATTCCCACCTGAACTTGAGCATATATAAAGTTCGGGTTTGGGGATTTCTGGTACCACTTGTTGGATCCAGAGGAGGACCAGAACTTCAACAGGACTGCAACTGCCACTCTTGGCAAGACTGCAATCGTTACTTCAACAGGACTGTGATCATCCTCTGGACCAAAAGCTTTTTCTTTTCTTTTACTTTGCACCCAGGGGGACTCTGTGGTGCTCAGCACAGGGGCTGGTGAACATTGTTCTGTTCTTGTCCCAGGGTGTTGGGTTATACATCTGTCTTTGGGGTTAAAATCAGTTTTCTCTGTATAATTTTATTTATTGTAGTCTTTTTAGTAGATTGTATCTCTGACTTGTAATCTCTTGAGTTGGGTTCATTTCTCCTGCTGGTTTACTTTTAAATCAGCACAGAAGAATGCAGGTTTCTGCAGTGGTTCATGTGCTCCCTGGCAGAGGTTGTTGTGAACAGGCTGATTGTTCAGCCCCACAAGAAAGTTTGCACATAGTGTACAAGGTTCTTGTCACTCACCTTCTGTTGGATGTGAGAAAGGAGCTTTATCTGTAGTAAGGAAAAAAATTATGCAATATGGTATGTTGGGTGCAAGGAATAGCCATATGCAGTTCAGGCTTGTTCTATGTCATCTTTACAGTTAACACACATTTGGCAAGCAGTACAAAATGCCCAGGAGAACTTCAGCTTGCCTGTGTTTCAATGGGTAGATATTTTCACATTTCTCTGTGGTTTTGTTTGTATTAAAAAATATTGTCCAAAGCAAAATATTCTTTCAGATAATGCTATAAATTTTAGTCTAGCTCTGATTCTTATTTGTTAGCTCTGGCTTATTTAAACTCCTGGATCAAGTAAGAGAAGTTTAGTTTTGCAAGCAAAGGAAACAAAAAGTAATGGCTAAGAATGTTAGAAAAATGGAAACAAGTCATCTGAGTCTCCACAAGAACTACACACAGATTAACTGATGGATTTTAATGCCAGTATTTCAAAGTTAGCTTGTATGACTTTTATTAGAAAAACTTTAGAAAACCCTTAAAAAAATTGTTAAAAGATTAATGAAGTGGTTACTTGATTTAGTATTCATACAGGCTGCTATTTACCAAAAGAAAAACCTCATATTCTGCCCTGCATACTCCAAATCCACTTCCTCAGTTTCTGAGCTCGTGCTATCAACCATTTCTAAAGCTCTGTGGTAGCACCATTAATAATCCTTTTGATATTCTTTTCTCTAATAAACATAAATCATCGACAACTCATTTGGTATTAGCATGGATGCCATAAGTCTTTCTGTGGTATTCCATCCCTTTATAGAAACAGTCAGTTATGTGGATCTGACTAAAATTCAAGCAACAACACTGCTGTGGATGAAAACTTGAAGGAATCTCATTTTATGTTATGAATATGGGTGCTGCTAGATTGTCTAGATTGTGGCAAGTGGGACCATGAGGGAGACACAAGACTGATTCCTGCCTCCTCTGAGCTTGGAGAGGGCTCGCTGTAGCATCCAAGGAACCTAGTGGGGCTCCAGGTGTCAGGCCCAGGGTGCAAGCCCTCCTGCACACAAAGGCAAGTCCAGCCTAGCTGGTCCTGTTGTTTTGCTCGTCTCAGCACAAAGTTCTGGGCAGTGGAGACCTGGGCACTGTCATCAGGGAGTCACTGCTGCCTTTTGGCTACTCAAGTCAGCAGTGGCAAAGGTGTCTGCCATCACAGATGGA